CACAAATAAACTTATTAAATACAATAAAGTAAATAACTTATATTGTGATATTAAATATTTTAGTATATATCTATTTCTTAATTTTTTTATTATTAATATTTTTTTATTTATATAAATAATTATTAATTTATTTAGTTACATAATTGTAAAAAATAACCTGCAAGTAAGGATTTTTTCAAAAGACAAGTTTACGAGCCGTGGGCAAAATAGCTTAGTGTACACATTCTCGGTGGCCATTTTAAAGCGAATTGACCGAGGGATGCTTGGGACTGATCTGTATCCAACTCGCCAGGACGAGTATGGGGATGTCAAATGCTTCATGCTCGGGGGACACACGAACATAATTGAGGCTGCGTAAGTCAAGAGAAGGCACAAGAACCATTCTTACACATCCGCCCATGTGCTCTCCGATGGAGGTGTTGCCTCCCTTACCTGGGCGGTGGAAGGGTCCTCTGCAGAATTGCACATGTCCTTCTCCCATATAGTCACATCTATTTCAATACATTCCACGTGTCAGAAGCGTAGGGGTCATATGGTTGCCCATTTAGGAAAAGTAAGGGCCTGTAAATTTCGTCAATTTGATTCCGATTTTTTCAAAATAATCTCAATCTAGTCCCTGAATTATTGTTCACTATTTTTTTAGTCAGAATTTCTTCAAAAATAGACGCCGGGCACATTAGAGGGAAAATATTAACAGAAATTTACAAAAAGGGCCTAATTGAGAAATGAGGTAATGTTTCGGAACCTTATTGATAAAATTGAGGAGTTTTGTATGCAATTGAGGGTGAGTATTTAGATTAAGAATTAAATTGAGGTTTTCTAAGAAATTAACTGATTCAGCTGACTGGTACGAACAATGAAAGTAAGCTGCTCGTATTTTTTCGGGGTAAATTGAGCGGAGGGGGGAACTAGCTGGTATAGGCGAGTTTCCTGATTCTTTGGCTGAGATTTTACCGGTACTGATTCCGAAGATGGACTCTCCGGATTCTATCAAACAATTCCGTCCTTTCAACCTCTGTAATGTAACTTATAAACTTAGGTTTTGGCTGATAGAATTAATCGACCTTTGCTTGAAGGCATTATTAGTCCTCTCCAAAGGAGCTTTACTCCTAGCCGGCACACCAAGGACACGTTACAGAGGTCATGAATTGTGTAACCAAGTCTTCCTTGTCTATTGTGTGGACTGGGAAAAAACCACCATGTTTTAAGCCTAAACGAGGTATCTGTAAGGGGATCATTTCTCCCCTTACCTGTTTGTGCTGTGAATGGAGCGGCCTTTTCTACTTATTGATAAAAAATAAAATAAAATGCAACGCATGAATGGAAGCCTATCAGATATTCGAGGAATGGACCTCCCATTTCTCACTTGCTCTTAGCAGACATGTGTTACCCTTCACTACAGCTGCTCGTAGCCATGCTCGGGGTAATTAGGATGAAATTGAATGAAATTTGTGGTGCTTCGGGAATGAAAGTAAATTAACGAGTATAAATATATTAAGTGATAAAAAATAATATAAATTATATTTTAAAATTTTATTTAAAAAATTAAATTATTGAGTTGAATTGATTTTTTTAATATAGTATTAAAATTTTAATGACTAAATAATTATGAATTTAAATTTTATTATTTTTATTTATTTAATAAATATTAAATATAAAATAATATTGTTACGTGTAACTTTCAAACCTTTTTACTTAATAAAAATATTAAAAAATAATATAAATTATATTATAAACTCTCACCTAAAAACTTAAATTATTAAATAAAATTATTTCTTTTAACATTTCATATGCTTGTTGTTCCTGTTGTTCACCACCGAACCAAGAAACAGATTCGTTTTATCTGTAATTTCTCCTTTGCTAGTGATTTGGGTGTCTATCTTGGAGTTCCTTTCTTGCATCCCAGGGTGTACAAATCAAGTTTTGTCTTTGTGATGGATCGGATTTCGTCGAGACTATCAGCTTCGAAAGCAAAACTCCTTAATTTTACTGGTCGAGTTACGCTAGCTTGATCTACCCTTACAACCATGGAGATTTATGCAAAGCGAACTTTATATGGTTAAACAACTTCTGCCATATTTTAAGCTCTTTGTTGATACTCGTCATTATTATGTAATTGTGAGTTTACTACTGGGAAAAAGAAAAAGAAAAGGAGAAAGGAAAGGATTAGATACCCGCCAAGTGTTCAACAAACAGCTGAAGTTGGTCAGCCCAATCCACATACACTGAATAAATAGCGTCCAGAATTAATGGCCTCAAACCATTTCAGCTGAATGAATATGCCAAGTGGCCCATGTTTATACCATTCTGCTCCTTCGCTGCTTGTGTTTATAAAATTTTATATGCAATTGAATCCAGCCCAGGCTCAATGCTGAAGACAGGTCTCTCTATCACTTTCTTCTCTAACTATATTCTTCTTCCGGGCTGGGTGTGTTCGTATCGCTTCTTTAAGCACTTAGATCTAGCCCATCTTTATTTATAGCCCAAAACATGAAAAGAAAAGGGTTAGTACAAACTTGTGATCCCTCTCTAATTTTTTTTTATCACAAGTACAGATCCCGCAATCCATAATCAATGATTAGATAGCCAGAGAAAACATCATTAATCAGTAGTTAATAAGATAGAAGAGTTAAATTACTATCATGAAATGTATCACTATTATAAATATGAGAGTCTACTCAAATATTTATAGTGTGGCTGTGCAATAAATAGTTTAACTTCATTTAGAATCTCAAACAAATGGAAATTTTACAGTAAGTCCAGTTTTGAATCTCGGATTCAAGAGTTGTCAAAACGACAGATGCAAGTAAGTACCTATGGATTTATCTTTAGACATTTTGGGATTTCATTTATAAAAGGAAAGGCCTTTAATTTCCAGTTTCTTTTCATTGCCTTTAAAGTTGCTGTGCAATAAATTCCATCCCGAAGTAGCACCATAAATAAAATTTGAAGCTACAGGGAAAGAGATATAGCTGGGCAACGTAATCGGTTGCCTGTCACATTCACATCCAAATGATCAAGCAAAAATGTATACATGCATGCACATTCTCAAAAAAGAAGCACATACACACATTAATTCATGCTTACATATAAATCATACATTTTACGTATACAATATTATTAAAATTATGTGTTTTTTTTTATAGAAGTAATATTTAAAAAATCTACAAAACTATTTAATACAATCAGTTAATTGTAGCAATTAACATTAATATCATTTTTTCATTTCAAGAATTCTCGAGTTCAAACCTATTCGTAATTAACAAAACAACAATACTAACATAGTTACTATAATCTTCCTTAAAATTGGATATATATTTTCTTTCATAAGCCAATGATGTTAAAACATCAAGACGGGAAATCAACCGACAAGGACGGAAAGCAAGGCAAAGCATAATCTGGAAGAAACTGCTAGAAAAAGAGGAGGGAAAAAAGGTGTTTTTAAAGGGTTTTACATTAGATTTCATAGAAAGATAATTAAAAATTATAGAAAGAAAACAAACTTCTACATAAATGTCCTTTGGATTTATTATATTTAGTTGAAGAACAGCATTGTGTTTATATATATATATATAGGTAGCCTTGGATTAAATGTTAACATGTTTTTATGTCAATTATTCAATTACATCCTCAAATTATAACATGGATCGATTTCTATGCTATGTCACTCTAGTTTCTCTAAGTTTATCCAACGGATAATTTCTGTTTAATTTTTTCAGTAAGTTAGCTGAAGTGACTTTAATCCAAGGTTAGCATTTCTAATGAAAAAGGTTCTAACATTACAAGTTATTAACCGGATGAAAATAGACAAATGTCAAACAATATACAAGATCATTAGTTATAAATAACCAAATTCGTACTAAAAATATACAATTGAAATAATTGACTAAGTACCGGAATAAAACAAGGGTTTTAACGTGTAATTAACATAATTAGCGAGTACTTCGTCTATAAAACATTGAGAAAAGGCATTACAGTCTCTGAAAATAGTAACATCTCCTTTCTCTTTAATTAGCAATGTTAGCTTCCTGATGGCCATTAATGGCAAGGAATCACATGCATGTAATTTTTACCGTCACGAATAGCGAAAAGAGCTTAGGATCTTGAATTTATTGCATGATAAATTACACAATACAATTATGGCTAGGAAAATTTCTGCGAAGTTATAATCAATGATCATGATGGCGAATACCCATGTGATAAGACAGGGAGAGGAAGTATACAACAAAATGTTCCTGACCTAGAAAAATCATCCCTTTCGACTTAAGCAAAATGCCTCATTTAATTATACTAGAAACGTTATTAAATATCATCATCAGCACCGCATGTATATTACCTTCTATGGTTAGATATGTTACGTTATAGCATCGAATAATGCGATATAATTAATTAATTGGCTATAAGCAATTAAATATATGGCATCTCTTTGGCAAACAAGCTACTAATCAAGGGGCGTATCCAAGGGACTAATAACTCACGAAGGCTATTAATTGGATTCATGATCAATGCTTCCTTAGCACATGAGCAGATGACCAACTTCTGTTAATAACATTCATGGAGGTCTACCATAATTCCAAGATGTTAATTACCGCTTTAATTTCTCACAACTGATTATGCAAGCGCGCAGTTGTTCCTGGTATCTGGTAGCATAATTAGCAATGCATGAATTAAGTGTAGTTTTGGATTAAATGTGAAATCGTTAAATAAATTTTAGAAAGAGAGATCATTTAATTAAATTGGAGACTCACTGACTCACAATTCCCTAGCTACTATACTTCATCTAGGTCTTAAGTAGTTTTTGTGAAGAATGCCTCAGGCTTGATGTCATCCAATTATAAACAATTTTGCGCAATTATCTATTTGACAAAGAGACCGGAGTCTTACCTTCTGTCCATGCAGTGGAAGAAAAAAATGCAGTGACAAATAAAATGTTGATAGATTTTGTATACGAAAATCAAGAATGAAACTTTGATGCTGCACAAACATGGCTTATACGAGTTTGAATATTGGGAGATAGAAACGCTAGAACATGACAAGGCCTAATTCTAATGTAATCTGAATTTAGCCACACCAAAACTATTAAATACAATGCACTTACCTCCTAAGTAGAACCTGATTCATGGATTCATCTGTCATGGAAGTGGAATTCTGAATCAAATATCATGGATCTCACAGCTGACATGGTACTCTTTATATTACACCAACGGAACAGTAATATGCATATTGCAATCTTCATGAAATCCATATTAAATCCCCCCTATCAAACAGTACCAGCAGATAAGTACGTAAACCCCGTAAAAAACATTTGTTCATTCCTGAAATATAGATTTACCCGTGTGACCCATTAGCGGTCACGTCCAAGTCTAAGCTCCAGATCGACTTCGTCATCGTCAGAAACCCTCCTATTCCCTCCACTATCTTGGATATTGGCAGACCCAATTTGCAAGCTTAGACCTTTACCCCAAAGGTCCTCGTTCATGCTCAAAGATTGAGATCTTGGCCCAATAAAATCCTGGCTACCATTTTTGTAATTGCTATATGGTTGTCTAGGGCTAGAAACCACAGGTGGCTGAAAATACATTTCATGATTCCTTTGAGCCTCCAAAAACGGATAGTATCTTGTGGGTCTACTTGAATTTGGTACCATATATCTAGGATTCTTGATTTCCCCATTGTCTTTGCTTGAAACTGATGAGGAACTTACAAGGTTTTTGCCTCTGGTTCGATTAGCTCGATCTTTCCGATGTATGTTCATGTGCCCCCCTAAGGCTTGCGCGTTTGTGAAGCCTCTCTTGCAAAAAGAACATTCATATGAGCGTTTAGCAGTAGTTGCTGTATTGCTTGATAAATCTTCTTTGACTTGTTCTTGGCTATCGTAATTTTCTTCACTTGAATCCTCTGGGCTTCCTTGTTTAGCCGACTCCATATAAATAAATATCAAGAAATTGAAAACCTTGTTGCGATATTGACTATTTGACCAAAGATTTCTTCGCTTGAGCTCAGAATACAAGGTAAAGGCTAGAGAAAGAGAAGGAAAGGGTTTTTAGTGGAATTGATCTAGGTTAGAGAAAAACAGTGAGAAGGCAACAGAAGGGAAAGGCAGGTGCTTGTGAAATAGTGACAACACAAGTCATTGGCATTTCCATTGAGACTTCTGTGTACTCGTATTTAAGGGAGACTCAATTTTGGCGTTTGCTTTAGGACTTTTCTTGTTGTTCGGCTCTTGTGATGTATCCATTTATCTAGTAAATTTTATCATCTCTCATCTCTTTTGATCATCTATATGCTGGTTATGGGATTTTCTTTTTTTACTGAGGTTGGGATGAAAATTCTGCCCATGTAGCTTCCATGAATCCGGTTTTTTTTTTTTTTTTTCTAACGCGGTTGTTATTTACCACTGTTATCAGTACTTACAACCTTACTATTAAGCTAAGTATACTAAGTGCACAAGAAAAATTAACTAGTTCCACATGGTCTGGTTTCCAATTTTGAGGGGGATGTGCTCTACATGACTTTTGTTTCTTTTTACAGACATGAGACCTTCCAACATATGATAATTTTAATTTACCATACAGCTACTAGTAGCTAATGCACAGGAAGCATCGGTTCTATTTGGCTTCAATTCACTTTTTGACGAAAAACGTGCCCTTTACATTTGAAGGTATGAAATGAACCTTCCAGCATATAGGATGCCTTGTTTTCATGTATGAGACACAGGCTGATCAAGTCTCAATACTAGACATGAATGACAATCTTAATATTATAACCCAGAGGAGATGATAATGCTAATACTATAGGAGAGGTCCAACTAAACATCTAGCCATTGAAAACAATTGCTAATGAGAAACCGCGTGGAATTATATTGGAAAAAAACCCCTCTTAGGTGCGATAGGCTGCCATTATGATTTGCTCAAAATGTGTATGGTCTTGCTATAATTATAATATAATCCTAAATTGAAATCTATAACTTACAAATCACTGTCTTTTTATTGTACCTACATGGCTACTTCAATTCAATGTTGTGCAACTGTCTCCTTTTCATTGAATCAATAATTATTCATATAAATATCCCTTTTCCTTTTACCACCAATTTATGGCGTAGATAACTTGAATACTGCTAGAAAGGGGAAAAAAGAGAGAGATGGCATGTTAATAACATTAGCGGGTGTAATATATTGCATCAGATCTGACATGATTGCCTAATTCATCCATGGTAATAGAAACTTATTAATATTGTACTGGTTCAAAGCTCACTCGTTCAATTTTGATGCATGTCCTAGTTGATTTCCACATGCCTCATTTCTCCTTCATCTTGTGACTTTGCTAGCTAGTTTCAACAAATAAACATTTATAGTAATAATTACTTTAATCCAAAATCAAACGAAAGGGAGAGAGGGAGCTTGCAGCTCGATAAGAATGAATTGATGTAACTTAATACTCAACTTTTATTCGAAAATTAACCTCGAACATACCATGTGTCTTTCAATGTGCTTACTTGTTTAGCTGTTTCCCCCCTTCTTATTAGGTAGCTGGTTGTTGGTTGTCATTCTTTTAGGATAGAGAGACGGCAAAAACAACGCATTGACAGTACTTAAGCTAGCTTTGACCATGTCCTTTTTTTTTTCCTTTTTTGTCAAAAATTTAGTACCATGTTCTAGAAATGACTTATAATCTTTCATGTTTATGAATGTGATCTCTTATATACTTATGTATTAATTATAACTGTAATAACTAGTGATTAAAATTAAATGACAAATAATTTTTGACAAATGGAAGAAGTTCATCAATGACAACAACATGAGTACTGTAATATCAATTAGTGCCAGTTCATTTACAATTAAGCTTTTGAAAACTTTTTGACCCAACAAAACACGATGTTCAAGCTTAAGTCTATGAATGGAAAACTTATTTAATTTCAGGAGCTTAATCACAGGCGACGTTTCAAAAAATAATTATGACCTTGAGTGGATTAAACGTAGAACTTTATATATTTTGTTGTCTGGTTTGACCTTAACAAAACCAAATTGAACATATCTTTATGCTTAAGAGAATTAATAAAAATGCTTTCCAATAAATTATTGGTTGATTCTGGTCAAACTGACCGGACTTGACCGTGAGCTTATGGTAAATTTTCAAATTGATTTTATCTTGAACTTAGCTCCAAATAACTTTCCAACTTTCTTCTTGTTTTTTATTTTCTTTTCATTTTTTATAAGCCAAACATTACAAAAAAGAGCACCACAAAAGTTTCCAAATTTCTTCTAATGACATGAAAGAATGATACTTCTATGATATATTTCACCATGAAGGCCAATAGTACTGCGTCGCGTTTCACTTTTCTGTTTTTAGATTTTCTTGTATGATCTAGGCAAGGGATACCCATTTTTTCCTTTTGCAGTTGATGGCTTGAATAATATGAATGTCCATACATAAACCTTTAGGTGCACGTTGTAGTCCTTCCTTCTTACATTTATCGATTGATTATATGTCTAATAAAAGGAACGGCCTTTCCTTTGGGATCAAGGAGAAGAAAGGCAAAACTTTGCTGTCATAGCCATCAAAATGAATTCCACATAAGCACATGACAGTAAGGTTCTGGCTACATGCATCATAAACAATTCTAAATCATCCAGCTGCCTTGTAGTTGTTTTTATTTATGAGATTGTCATTTTGCTCCTTGTCGAGATTTACAAGTGAAGTTTTCAACACGTTGATGTATTTACTTGTTTTGCTTTTAAAATGGTGCCATCTCGTTAACTTATTCAGTGTTGACATGTTATTGGAGTCGATCTGCTCATCCAGGTTTTGAAGGTCCATATGACATTTTCTCAATAATATTTTCTTAGGGCTAGCTGCAGTGATATTCCAATTCACATATATTATTCCCAAAATGGCTTCGTCCCAGAAACTATATGCAGGTAATAAAAATGCCGACAAGAGACCTGGACTTGAAACTTTGGGCCTAAGAGTGATTTTTATTTTCATAAGGTTGGTCATAAAGTCCCAAACTTTGAATAACAAAAGTCTGCGAAGTCCCAATTTCCCGTTTTTCTACATAATCTCATGATACATCGCTGTGTTCTAAGATGATGTTCTGAAACCCCACTTTAAAAAGTGTTAGATTATAGAATTATTAAATCTACAAGACTCGTTGTAATATTATGGGCTAGGATTTTTAGGAGAGCTCATTTAAATTTTTATGAAGAAAATAGATTATACAAAGTTTTTTTACTGCTTGTATAGATCAAAAGGAGGATTAAAGACAAGATACATCAGGAGATTTTTATAATTGATTTTTTTTTATAATGTAATTAACGTTTAATTAAAGAATACAATGTGTTGACTATGGTTTTAAAGTTATGTAAGATTAATGAGGGGAGTTTTTTTTTTTTTTTTTTTTTTGTGGGGGGGGGGGGGCGGTGGGATCACTTTGCATCATATAAATTAAAAAATAAATAAAAATAAAACATTGATAGCATCCATTTGACCTCTATGGTGAAAATAACAACTAGGTGTAAAGAAGATGAAACTAGCCTGCAGTGACATGGGCCCGTACTGCAAACGACGGGCCCATGTATAGTTTGGCACGTTCAAGCCTGGCATGGTAATCGAAATCGGCATAATCCATTTTTATTATTTTAATTTTTGGTAGATTACCAAGTAATTTAGACTCACGAAAGCTCGCTCAGCCCATTAAAGGTTTATAGTCATACTTATATTCGCAATCAGCTGGAACTTTCCTCGAAAGTAAAACTCAATAAAAGTTATTTAAGTTGCAACAGGTTAAACTAATTTTTCAAACTTCAAAATCTCAATTTTAAAGCCTGAAGTTTGAATTAATATTAGATGGATAGCCAGGCTTTAATGGTGATGTAAGGATAATTATTAAACCTGTTCTAGGGTTCACCTGGTCAAGAGATAAGGTTATTAAAAAAATATAAGGCATTAAAAATAATATAGTTATTTCAAATAAAAAAAGTTAAAAAAACAATTCAGGTTATAAATAGTTATCTCAAAAGTAAAAAAAACAATTTAAATGAATATAAATTATAAAAAAAAAATGTGGAACTACGTATTTATAAATTAATTTTATATTTATTGAATACACACACATACAAAGTCAGGTCTCATCCTAGTTATATTGATAAACTTGTAGTTAGCTGGGTTTGGCCAAACCAATTATAGATTCAAATTTTATTTATTTGAAATTCAGCAAAATTCCCAAGTCACCTGGGATTTATGTCAATCCGTCACGCCATGTCGACTTTCATAACTATACTGCAAAGAGACAATCATGCAAACATTCTTCTATTTCATTGGATGATCAACTTATTAACAAAAAATTACACACACACACGGGTCAGAGCTAGGTTTTCAATTTGCTTTCATCTCTGATATACACACGCGGATGTGAAAGCTATAAAATCAATAGCTTTATTTGGTAATTTAAAAGGGATTTCGTAATACGTGCTGTATTAAGCGTTCCGAGTGAATTAATTGTTGTTTCTTGAAAAGCTTCGCTTCAATTTTCTAGGAGGGATCGGTTCTTCAAGAACTAGCAGTGATGCAGCAGGTAGGACCAGCTAATGTAAACATGCAATGCACAGTACAGAATCTGCATAGTTGTGGTCATATAGTCCATATAATCTAATCACACTAGCAAAAATACCTTGCCATATATGCAGTCCAATGACTATATTTCCATCAAGATACTGATGCATGCTGCATGTAGGGTGCAACCGTACCAGGGTTTAAATCCTACTTCGATTTTCCTTGCACCTTGGTTAATAACGACACCGAGAAAAAAACACAGATCTCGCGTGCCCATATTGAACCCAAGTACGAAAATTATTGAAGTGGTGCTTCAGGTCGAAGTGCATATGTTCTTGAAAGCAATGCACGAGGGATAAGGAGTGAAATAAAAGGATTGGGATTCGGGAAGATTGATCAGAGAGATCGATGGTGATGTGCGCCGACTGGGGAAAGGCCTTGCTTTATGCCATCCCCTCCACTCACTTTCACTGAAATAAGCACTCAGGTAGCTTCTCCTCTATCTTAATGGTCTCTACTCCTTCCTCTCTATTTTCACAACTATCAGGTGTGGGGAATGGGGGGCTCCCTTTAAAAATACCCGCATTTCTACTAATTAAATGCTGTCCCTTGAGGCAATGACCCTTCATGGCTCTTTTTTTACCATACGTATTTAGATGTTATAGTAAAAATCAGGTGACA